GTCTGCTCTCGAGAGCGTTTGATATAAGCTCACAGAAACGTTTTGCCGGCTGGCCAAACGTGGCGACGGTTTGTGGCCGCTGTCATTGTCAGAGCCCGACCCAAAGCACGTTCACATTCACTAAGGAAACGGTAGCAAATCAAAAAAAAGACAAGAAATCAAGTAAAGCGGCCCATGTGCAAAATTTAAATTCAGCCGCCGCATTTGATAATTGCCTCGGCGAATCGAAACTCGTTATTTGCTCTGCGTTGGTTTTTAGTTGTTTTTAGTAGTTTTTTTCGCGCGAAATAGCCAAACACAGCCCAAATTGCAATATTTGCCAGCGGCAACAAAGAATTTGTGTCAGCCGCTTGCACAATCAACCGAACACATACACAAACATATACATATATATATCTATCTATCTATATAAACAGAGTCGCGCCTTGCCGCACGCGGCTTATGCGCAACGAGGGCCAACCGAAAATTGTTTGACCAGAAGAAGTAAAACAGCAATTCGCCAAGCAGTTACATAATGCGACTGGGAGTTGGCTGATTCAACTGGGCTTGGTTAAGCGCACTTGACGGAAGTCGGGAAAGCAAATACAGACGTATCTTGTATCTGTCTATATGCATTCCCATAAATTGTGATCGGTGTGGGTGGGAAAATGATCTGTGAAATCGTTTTGTCGGCGAGGAAATCTCTTTGGTGCGACAATGTTGATGCTATGTGGAGTAAGCCAATAAGTAAATTGGCCAACAGCGAACCACAAATAATCGTACCAACAACAGCATTAACAACTGGCAGTGAACAACAATTGGCGACGACAAATTGTCATAAGCCACAAGCACAACAACTGCCAACAACCAGTGTGCAGTCGAGCAAAAAAGTTAATATCCGGTTTTGGCCATGAAATTATAATGCAGGATATCAAACTGAATATGATTATATACATGAGTAGCTGCTAATATTTGCTATCTCTAAGCACTAATTCGGTGCCAACAATTGACGCATTGGTTAGCAGACTCTTAAAACAATTGAGTTTAAATGTTTCAATTAACTTCAATAAGCTTTGAATTAATTTAAGCTTTCGCGCGCTTATTTGTCTACTATAGTCGATCTACTTGCACATTTATTGCTATCCCACTTGCACAAAGCAGAGTTGCACAGCTAGCAGCGACATCTATGCGGCTAACGCACAGAGTCGTAAATTCAAGTGGCGCCACCTACACAGCTATTCGTTCAGCTATCGATAACAAAGTTTAGAATCATGGCTATTGGAATAGTATTTTCTTTAATACTAAATAGTAAGAGTCGCTGAACTGACAGCTGTTGAACTCAAGCAACTCTAGCAAAACGCCGCATTTTTTACGTAAACTTATTCTAGCTTATAAATTCAACAAGTTATTAATGCAAATAGTGTGAGAAAAACGTAGAAACAAACACGATTAAGAACGCACCTAAGAGACAAATCCAATTCAAAATGATCTACACGACGTCGCTGCTGTCGCGAGGCTCCATCTTCGGTTCGCTAATAAGCAAGTCAGGCAAGTTGTAGCCAAAAATGCAGACACTGCAAATACAAATCCAATCAACAATCACCATTTCACACCTACGCCAAAACCAAACAGACCATTGGCCGCTGCCAGCCTGAGCAACAGTTCGGCGCTGCACTCCAAGACACTGGAAGAGCAAATCGGGCTGCCTCCCAGGCCAAAGAAGCCGCTAACTCCATATTTTCGCTTCATGCGCGAAATGCGACCCAAGATGCTAGCCAGCAATCCAAGTATAACGACTATTGAGGTTGTACGACAGCTGTCGAAGAACTGGGTGAATGCAGATCCTAAGATGAAGGAGCGCTTGCAATCAGAGTACAAAAGGGATCAGGAACTGTATGTAGAGCAACGTACCAAATACGAAGCAACGCTAACCGACGCACAGCGCGCCGAAATCAAGCAGATGAAACAAGACATCAGCGATGCCAAGGAACGCAAACAGCTGCGTAAGCGTGTCAAGGAGCTGGGCCGACCCAAGAAACCAGCCTCGGCATTCCTTCGCTTCATTGCCATCGAGCGTACAAATACGCCGCAAACAGAGCAGCAAACGTACCGCGAATGGCATCAGAAGGCACAGCCAAATGGACGCGCCTCTCCGATGAGGAGAAGGCCGTCTACCTGAGCGAATCGCGCAAAGAGCTCGATCAGTACAAGTATGTATCAATCTAGCCTCAAAGCTCTCATTACCTTCTTTAATCATTTAATTCGCTTTGCAGAAAAAGTATTTCGATTTGGGAGGAGAAAATGATTCGTCTGGGCCACATCGATGTGGTGCGTCATGGCAATCTAATCGATCCGCCAGAGCCCAAGCACCGCAAGCCTCAAGCAGCCAAAGAGAAGTAGTCTGACTTGACCGTCTATCATCCGCCATCACAATATCATTTGGGTTTTTTTCTTATGAAAATTTGTTAAATGCTTCACATGCCTTCATAACTATTAAATAAGTCATTTGCTTTATCCCTATTACATGCTGTAAGATCTGTTCTGAATAATCATGTCGAATTATGTAAATAGTTTCAGCATCATGTATTAAATACTTAAAAAGACAATGGAGTTTGCTTTAAATGGAAACTGCATATATAGAATTATACTTTGTCATATTTTATAGCAAGCAAATAATATGTAGAAAATAGAGATATAGGGACAAAATACTTTTAAAAGAATTTACAGGGTATTAGCAATTGCTTTTCCAGATATTTCAACTTATACTTGAATTTCTCAAGATTAGATTATATGGCCTTAAACTAATTATCTAAGAGAAAAGCTTTAATAGCTTTATATTTATATAAAAAAAAAAAAAAATATATATATATATATATATATATATATATATATATATAATATTTTAAAATGCTGCTCTAGCTCTAAATTTAACATAGGACTTCAAAATACCATTGAATTTTGACCACGACTTGCACACATGCATACTTAGATATATTTCCTAACCAAAATCAAAAATATTTTATCCAATATTTATTAAAATTTTAAACTGTAAGCAAAGTTTTCTAGTTTGGCTATAGAACTTTCTACTTCTTAGTTCCAACTAATTTTAAAAATATTAGTTGCCTAAACGTGGCATAAAACCTATCTAGTTGCATTTGCCAAGTATAGCAAACACGTGTTCGAGTCTTACGGGGTTAACATCACACTTGATTTTTAGTTGATTTAACACGGTAATCGACACAATTTTAATCTATCTGCGTAGATCACGGTAAACAAATATGCAGTAAATTTGTCACCTCAAATGCGCAGAATAAAGAGACCAAAGAAAATAATTATAGACTATAACTATATAATGGTACAGTCAATCTGTCTATACGTAGGTATGTACATAAGCGTACAAGTCGATGTAGTTTGGCTTGCTGCGCAGACACAACCGTTCGCTGCTTGAGTCAGCTTCGAAGTGAACGAGCTGGCCAGAATTGGGATAGGTTTGGCTGCAGACTGAAGACAGCCATTTTCTGACACTGGAAAGCCGCTGACTGGAATGGTCAGCAGCTAGCACCTCGCACCTCGCATGCTCGCTCACACGCTCTCAGTGCATGTGCGTGTATGTGTGCATAAGCAGCATTGATAACGGCTTAAGTTTATGGCTGATCAATGAGCATAAAATTTGTTACGCTCAGCATTTTGTTACAGTTGCTTTTGCTGCACTCGAAAAAATGATTGCTTAGTACCAGAATTAGACTGAAATATACCCATATTTTATACCAATCACATATATAAGGAACATTAATTAATTTATTGATAATTATAATAATTATTGATAATATATGATAATTTATTTAATTATTTATGTTATATATAGTTGATACGCATTTCATAGAAGAAAGAGTACAGTTTGCTAGCAAATTGGGTACATTGTACCTAACATGAAACTGTAAACATTTTTGGTACATTTCGTGCAGCAAGTGCCTGTCTCTCTCGCTCTCGCTTGTTGTCTGTTATTCGACTTCCAGTCAGTGCTGCTTGGCTGACTGCGCTCTCATTTTATGAGCAGTTGGCCAACAGGTAGTCGCAAATACATGGCTTGAACAGTGTTCAGTTTAACCCTCGTCTACCTGTAGTAGAACTTTAACCAAACACGCTCTGAACTCTATGCTAATTATAACAGTCAAAATTTACAGCGCGTGTTAATTGTGCGCTGCAACTAGTTTCCAGCCGCATGGTCAAAGTGAGGAGAAAAAAGCTTCATAGCTAAAAACTTCAATTTGGCCGCCACATTCTTTAGACAGAATTCAACTTACCTCCGATTTTTGGCCAAATAACACGTTCTGTGACACAACTTAGAGCCGCGCCGCAAGCGCAATTGCGCAAGCCATATTGGCAAAACCTTGAGCTACTCCAAAAGCTACCAAAAAAATAAAGATTGCCGAACAGATCTAACTGTGCGCTAGGCGGCGCGCCTGGCCAACAAATTGACAATCTGGTAGCAGCACTTCAGAGCTGCTGATGCCTTGGCTGGCCAAGGCATGCACTCAACATATGCATGCATGTATATGCATGTGTATGTGTGTATGTATGTATATGTATGTATAACACTCACACAGATACGACTGCTTTCAATGTTCTGTGCTGCGGCCCAGCCAGGTGGAACAAGCATTTGTTTTGCTACTCTAGCAGTAGCTGCTTATTAGCCAGCTTTGCGTTTTGCGTTTGTCTGTTGTGGCTTATTATAATCGTTATTAGCCCATAACAGCGCCTAGTTAAGACCCTCCGCCACCCCCCGCAGACGCTCTGCCTTACAGACTCTGCTTGAACTGGAGGCCAAGCTGCTGAGTGCTTTGCGCAAGAGAAATTCATAAAAATTTAATTTTCGTTGATAAAATAAACTTTTTTTATTAACAATTTGGCTCAATGTAAAAATATACATATTTTTTATATCTCTGCTGTACGTTTTATTTGTATATTCAGCTTTATTTTTTATTATTATTTTTTTATATAAAAATTCAAGTATTTCCAATCGATAAGATCCCAATGAGAAGATGCTATATTAATACGAAATAGTAGCTAGAAAAATGATATTATACATACACAGCTATCATCTAGCGCTTAAGATCTAGGAGAATATATACATACATACAACAACAAGGAATTTTGGACAATTACAAAGGCAATAATTTAATACTCCGAACTCCGAGCTCCGAACTAAAGTGTGTGTGTGATGTGATTCTTTGTCTCTGCTTATATGTGGGTGAATAGAAATGAAAATACAATTAAAGCAAGGCCCAACTCAAAAACGAAGCGGAAAATTTTGTGAAGTTTTCTTTGGGTTTCAATCATGCTCGACACAGTCAACTATCGATGTATGTGGATGCCAAATGATGTAATTAACTAAGCGGCAGCAGCTCAACCTCGCTTGCCGCTCGACTGGGCGTGGCTGTGGCTGTCCTCCGAGGGCGGTCGCACCCAGCCGCCGTAGCGACGCTCCATTTCGCGCGCCACGGCCAAACAGAGATGGTCCTGGCCAGGATTGGCAACGACCTGTATGCCCATGGGCAAGTTGCGACGATCCAGGCCAATCATGCAGTTGGTGACGGGCAGGCCGAGCGTATTGAAGATAGCCATGTACATCGGCTCCAGCAGCTTGTGATAGATTTGATAGTGCTGGTGCGCTGTATTGGGGAATGTGGGATAGAGGAAGACGCCGTCTGTGCCGAGCAGCTCCTTGAATTCAGTCTTGAGCGCTTCGATGATGCTGGCCAGATGCTTGTGCCGCGAATTGGGTATGATCTTCATGAAATTCTGCAGATGACCGAAGATCACCGAGGGCAGTATGCTGTCCGAGCAGCCAAAGAAATACTTGACCGTCTCCTTGCACACGGTCTTGGGCTGTTCCCCCTCCTCGGTCTTGTGGTAGATGGTCTCAATGTTCTTCATGGTCAACATGGCCGACAGCGAGATGTCCAGAGACCACTTCATCTTGCGAATATTGACACGCTTCGCATTGAAGTCGCTGGCCACCCGATTGATGGCCGCATGCAGGTCCCGGCTGAGCGGACGCATCATGCCCGAGGGACCGTCGTTGTCCATGAAGAAGAAGCGGATGCCATTCGCACTGATCTCTTTGTCGAGCGTTAGCTTCGGCCCGGTCGGATCGCTCATGCACTTGAGCAGCAGCGGCAAGTCCTTGGCATAACGTGTCATGGGCGCAATGGTAAAGAAGTCGCCCCACTTGGGAAAATCGCTGGTCGGATGATGGCCGCGAAAAGAGACCGCATACGGCGTGGGCTTGTGGCCCCAAATGCCGCTGAACATGGCGGGCAAACGCGACGAGCCGCCAATGTCCGAGGTGAGGCCCAGCAGGGAGGCGCCACTCGCTAGCAGCGCCGCTTCGCCGCCCGAGGAGCCGCCCGGTGTGCGCTTCAGATCGTAGGGATTCTTCGTCTGGCCCGTGACATTGTTGTACGTCTCCCAGAGCAGGCACAGCTCCGGCGTGTTGGACACCAGCAAGATGATGCCGCCGCAACGTTTGATCTGCTCCACAACGGGCGCATCCGACTTGGCAATTTGCGGGGTCTTGAAGACACGGCCCGCCTGGTTGGTCAAGCCCTTGACGGCGATGCTCTCCTTGACCGTGACCGGGATGCCCAGCAGCGGAGTATGCTCCTCCATGGACTCGACGCTGTTAATGCCCATGGCAATCACATTGTCTATCTCGCGCGCCTCCTCCAGCGCCTCCTCAAACCGATCCTGGACAATCGCATTGATCAGCGGATTTACCTGTGAATCGCAGAGCAGACACACACGCACACCTGTTAGGCCTTGTTCGAGGCAATCAATCAATTGTGTAAATCTATTACCTGTCGACATCGTTCGATATACGCCTCAACGACTTCTTCGCTTTTAATCTGCAAAGAGTTGATAAATGAAGAAAAAGACTCTGATCATTTCCGCATTGGCTAGACTCCAACATTTAACTCAACATTTACTTTTTGTGTGCTGGTTTGATCAATGTTTTATTGTTCCATTCTTGTCGCTTAATTGTTTGTGAGAACCCAGCGACGACACAAAAGCAATTTACGTTAAATTAAAATCAATAAAAATTCACATTCATGCAGCACCCGCCAATTGTCTGCCTGCCTGAGAGCACCAAGAATGCGAATGCCTCAGCGTACGACACGGCGTATGAGTAATGTGCGGATTTTCAATTGCCTATTGCGTAGGGCCGACTGCTGGGGCAGGGGTGCACAGGCACAGGCGTGCGGCCAGGCTGCATTCCAGTGAATATATAATACATACACTTACAAATTGATTAACTAATGTAGCTTAAGTATCGCCAGCAGGCATCAGGGGAAGGCAGAAACTTGAAAGTTCATTATCTCTTGCTTGATGTGTGTCTGACCTAAGGCTAATCGCAGAACTAATATAAAACGGAAGCAAATGTCGTCTACAGCAGCCTAATCTAAGCTGGCATTTTCACAGCTGTCTGTAATTCATTTCAATGTCCACATTAATTTCGCAATGCATATTCAGGCTCGCAGTACGCAGCTCGCTCGCCTAGCTAATAATACGTTCATATACAAACGAAGATCATCGGCATTCGTGCACAGGCATATTATTACACTTAAGGCTACTCGACTTTTTCAATGACTTCCCGAGCAATTTTAAATCACAGCTCAAACTCAAACTCGAACTCAAGTTTTGTGTGTATCTCTAAATAGTTGACTGCCTGTTGTAAAGCGGCTGGGAGAGGTGCAACATGCGTGGGGTGTTGTAAGAAGCCAACAGCTACAAGTGCGCACACACAGCTCAGCCTCAAGCCTCAAGTGACAACAGTGGAACAATCAATCGGAACGTAGTCGAAAAGAAAACGAATTCAAAAAAAAAAACGGGTAGCAAAGTGAAGACTTACACTAGCTGACTACGCATACCCTTTATATAGGTTGTTATCTTAAGTTTAGATGATTTTCGTAATCTGATTTTTAAACTGACTTTTTTATCAATTCACATGATTACCCAAGGAAGTGGTTAAAGTAAAACTTACTTACAGCTAAATAGATTTCTTTTTTTCACGTTTTTGTTGAATCTAAAAACATGTGAAAAATGTTCAATAGTCTCATTAAGTCTCAAGTTGCTTCACACTTAGCTAACTTGGCTAACTTGGTTGTCATTTAGATAGAGTCTCTGTCAAATTATTAACAAAGTTTGTTTGGAAAACAAAAAGGTTTTCAAATTTTTTGTTGTATACTGAGATGAAAAGATGATGAAGATACTGAAAAGCTTATCCAATTCTTAAGTTGTTTCCTCACATACATAGCTAGAGCTCACCAGCAGAACATCAGATAAATAATACATATATAGATGCACTAAGGCATGATTTGATAGTGTAAATAAGCCGTGCTGCCTTTCAGAAGGGTATCAAAAATGATATTTATAGGCGTGGATTCTGCTGTGCAGCGTTCGACATGCCCATCGACTTGCGTCTTGTTGTAACATGCAATGTAAACGCGACACACAGACACAGATTCGGCAGCTGTACATATCACACATATTTATATATATATATACAGATAGCCACATATATCAGAGTCAAGTCAAAAGGAAAGATAAACAGAAAGAAAAGCGAAACAGAAAACAAGTTTAGGCAGCAGTTGGTCAGTCGACTATGGCAATAGCTCGCAGTTGCTATGTGTGCGTGTGTGTGTTAGTAGTTGTGCTTGTATTAGTGTCATGCAGCTGAAAGGTTTTACGTGCTCTGCTTTAGTTATTTGCGCCGTGCGTGTTCGTGTTTCGTGTACGTGAGCCTAGAGAGAACAATTCATCTGTTGGTTACGATTGACGATCGACTGAGTGAAAAAATAGCAGATATAATTGGTATTGAGATACATATAGATATATGTTGAAATTGTATCTTCTATAAATGGCAAAATGCTGGTGATTCACGCTACTTAAAAAAACACTTCGATGTCTATTTCTGAGCATAATAAATTTGCAATAAACATATCTCAGATCTTGGGCCCACTTATTGTTTAAATAAATCTCAATTTGTGCAGTAATTAAGCAAAATGTTGTCGCTGTTGTCTGCGGCGATGACCCGACAATAAATATATATATATATATATCTATATATATATATATGTATGTGGACAAAGCGACGCACAGCTGATGCGACAGCAGTAACTAGTTTGCACAGAGATAAACACAAGAGAAACAAAATTTGCGTAAACGAAATAAAGCAATTGCTTAAGCACTGACAATGGAAACACTAATAAAAACTCAAAACAATTATAATTAAAAAATTCATTAAAAAGTAGCCAAAAAGTTATATGAACAAGCAAAAAAAAGATAAAAAAAATTAAATAAAATTTAATGAAAATAAAATAAAGTCAAAATTAAAGAAATACAGCTTTGCGCGTGAGTGTGTGTGTGTGTGTGCGTCTGCTCGTGTGTGAGTGATTCGATAAGGTCTGTCAAGTCATGACCTTAAGTGCGTTGTGTGTGGATGTGGACCAATGAACGCAATGAATCCTACAGAGCACAACAAACCGGGCTAAAGAAGCCCAAGCAACAGCAACAACTACAATAAAACATAACCAGCCCAGAGCTTGCAATTATTTATGAGTACATTCATGTATGTGTGTCAGTATGTGTGTGTGTATCTCGCAGATACTCTTTTTAGTACATAAATTCGTCATCTCGACTCACGCGCCGTCTGCCTGGTGTGTACGTAATTTGAGGTAGTTACCAGATGTTATTGATATGGCCAAGATATGTATGTGGCTGCAGCCAAGTCAACTCTCTAGGCCGCGGTTAGCTAACCAATTTGACGTATTGCTGCCGATTTTGAAACAGCCATACAGCCCCATATATGCGTACATATAGTAAAATGCTTTGTTTAAATTGAGATTAGGATGAGTAATATATGCTCTATGTCTGTGCCAGCTAACTGTCTAAATTCAACGTTGGACAGCTGACAAAAAGAGTGAAAAGTAAAACAAAATTTAATGGAAAACTTTTGGAAAGTGGAAAACGTTTTTTTTCAATGAATATTTGAAAACAATTAACTTAAGCTAAAGCTGTTAAAGAATTGCCAGAAGACAAAGACAGCAACAAGCATTTCAGGTACATCTATCTATACGAAGAACAACAATTTCGTCTGTGTCAGACAAATGTATCTGTATCTATGTATCTGCTTTAGTCTGCGCTGTTGAAGAACCTAAGTATCATATATGTATTATAAATGATACTCATTTTCTTAAAGGTGATCTTTAACCAAATCTTTTTATAGCATAATTTATAGAGATAGAGAACAAAGGTTCTGGCACATTATAAGCAGATCCCAAAAATTCTTTTTTTTTGTGTTGAACAAAATTAGACTAAAAAGTATCAAATAAAAAAAAATTAAAAAAAAAAAAAAAAAATATATATATATATATATATATATATATATATATATATATATATATATATATATATATATATATATATATATTTTTTTTTTTTTTTTAATTTTTTTTATTTGATACTTTTTAGTCTAATTTTGTTCAACACAAATTAATTAATTAAATTATATTTTATATTTAATTTATAACATAATCTAAATTTATTTAATTTAATATTTATAGTTATATATATATATATATATTTTAATTTTTATTTATTAATTTTTTTTATTTGATTCTTTTTAGTCAAATTTTGTTCAACACAAAACAAAAAAAAATTTGGCTTATTAAAGCAATGTCTTGATGTTAAAGGTGAGCCCAGGTTGCACCTGGGAGTCAGCTAAGCTGACCAGTGTTGGTCAACAACAACAAATTGCCTCAGCTTTACCGCAGTGGCTGACAGATGTGGCAAGCGCTGCGAGTGGCCTCTCTTGTCGTTAGATTGGCATATGCATTGAGTGAGCTGTGGATTGAAAGCCCCAAAAAAAACACGCCTCAACCCCTGCTTCAGCAGCAAACCATAACCCGAGGCTGTACCCTCTGTCTATTGATATTTTACAAGATATTGCCAATTTTAAGGTGCGTCTATGTATCTATGTATGCACATATGCATACACACACATGTGTGCGTGTGTGCGTGTAATAAGTTGTACTTACCTTTTTGTTGCGAATCAGCTTGGCTAGATCGACGGCAGGTATCTCCAGCAGATGACTGCGTATGGGCGGCAACTTGCGCCGTATCACCTTGATGTTGGTGTAGCGGCTATAGGGCACCACAAACCAACTGAAGACAATCATGGCCGAGCGCAGGAAGCGGCGCATGATGTACCCCAGGATCCTGGAACACAGTAGGACAGCAATTTTGACGGCTTTGCGTTAGACGACTTCAAAGTGAAATTATTTCAAATAGGTATATATATATCTAGATATATATATATATATATATATATTTATATAGATGGTATCCAGCAGACACAAGCGAACAGGTTGGCCAACAAGCGAAAGGATTGTGCAATATGCAGCTGGTCTGCAATTGCAGTGACTGCGACCGCGACGTCGACGGCGACGTAGGCAGCGACTGCGGCGGCTGCTGCGATTTGCGCTTGCATAACTCAATACACGAGTCGAGCTCGAATTCGAATTCGTTGTTTTGGCTCGAAAACTGGCGATGGCTTAATACTTTTTTTTCTGTTTTTACTATTTTTCTCTATTTTTGGTCAGTTGGCTAATAGCTGTTGGCAAAACACTTTCTTAAGCGCGACTGCATCTCAATTTAGTTGCGGCAGCGATTGCATTTTTCTAGACGAATTTGTATGCGCTGCAAACGCATGCGTACCGTATCACTGGCTTTCATTTTGTTACACTATGTTTTTGGTTTTGTTTTGTTTTTGTTTTTGTTGTTACTGTTGTGGGGTCTATTACATTTGTAACCGATCGCAGCGAATTGAAACGACTTGAAGCGAATTGAACGAGCGAACCGATGCGAACGACGCGCGCTAAGCAAATAAATGAGTAGCTAGCGCAGCGCATAACATTTAAAGCTCTGCTTGGCTCGCCCGTTAGCTGCGCTCACAGCGCTGAGCCGAAAGCTTGAACCGGTTCGTCTGCTGCGTGACGCTTTCTCTTTAAGCTGCGTCCGCTCTTAAGTGCATGTGCCTTTATAGTTCATTTGTGAGTCCCATTCGCTCTGCGCAAATGGACTCAGCGAAAATTCAAAGAACTCAAACGGATGCCCTGAATAAACCATAAGTAAGATGGAATTATACAATAATTTAAGCTTGATGTAAGCTCGTTACATTTGAGAAGAAGTTAGAATTTAATTTTCCATGTAATTATATATTGTTATATATCTTTATAGATTGGTGCGTCAGTAAGGCTAATTACTTTATATGCTTCCAGCTAACCTACAATTAGCCGAACTTTTGATCTTCGATTTATTTGCATTTCTTGTTATTAGTGCAGTGCGAAGAAACTGAGACAAGTTGTTCCTTTGAACTGTTTGTTAATTATACAGCTTTTAGCCAATCGACAGTTATTAGAATGACGTGTATAAGAAAAAGGCTTAGAAACTGAAAGTGAGATCATCGAGAGAAAAGGGCAAAAATATTCTCAGTTGAATATGGAATTCTGCTGTTTCTGCTAAAATAAATAAACAAATAAGTAATATGAATGCATCTGTATATATACGTAAGCTCAAATATTTATAAGCGCTGAAACGTGGGAGTATGAGATGTTAGGGGCAGATATACATATTTGGGCGCTCATGCCTGACGAATATTTAATGGCAATTTAGCAATTTTTTTGTGCTGTAAATATTTTAAATGTTTACTATTAAGCTGTCTACGAGGTAAAAATTGTTTTTTAATTGCGCAACTATTAGAGTTTATAGCTTTAAGCCGACCAATTTAGAGCGTTGTTTACAAACAATTGTATATAATTAAAGTACTTTGGGAGTGCCAAAATTTAGAAGCTTCCTAATGACTTAAATTACAATCAGTCAACTTAAGCTCACGCAAAATGTTTAAGTAAACAAAACTTACATTTTTTTCTGCTTCTTTTTTCTCGAGTAGGACTTTTGCTCTTTGATGGGGGAAAAAACACGAAGCAGGTTTTATATTGCATTTATTATTTTTTATTTTTAGTTCAATGCGGGAAAGTACCAAGGTAAATGGTAATATAGCGGAAGATGTAAAAATAGTTGAGTAATAATTGAAGAACATTCCAAGAGCAGCAAACGGAGGGAAACGAACTCTACTTGAACAGCAAAGAGCGCCAATAAAATATATGTCCAGCTTAGTTAGTTATCTACACTTAAATGATAAACATGCTGTTATCGTATATGCTAAAAAAATACGTATAGCTAAGAGAAACTGAGAGAGAGAGAAAACGGGAGCACGTTGTGTTAAGAGCGAATAGTGGGCGATGTTTTAAGAAAGCTCTCACGCGTCAGCTGTGCTTGATTCAGTGGCTGCTCACCAGTTGCCTGGAAAACTTTCCGTTAAGAATACTCGCATAGCGCAGAAGAACGAAAACATCAACAACAACAGCAACAACAGAGAAAGTGACTGTCAATAGCAAAGCGAATAACAATTGATTGGAAGTAAACAGTTACTCTCTATGGCTATGTGGTTACAACGTTTACGACTCTCACGCGCTGCCGCTGCCGCTGCTGCTGCAACGCGTCAAAGTTTGCGAAGCTTTGCCGCTGCCAGCAAGCATAACAACAGCAACGATAACCTTGAGGCTTCTTCCATAGATGAACGTCATCCGCTGCGAGGCGTGCGTATATTAGATCTCACGCGCATTGTCGCTGGACCCTATTGCACGATGGTGCTGGCTGATCTGGGCGCCGAGGTGATAAAGGTGGAGCGTCCCCATTTTGGGGATGAAGCGCGCAAATGGGGACCGCCGTTTCTTGAGGAGTGCGGCGATGCGGCCTATTTTCTAGCGCCCAATCGCAACAAGCAGAGCGTTTGCATTGATCTCAAGCGGGGCAAGGAGCTGATGAGACAGCTGGTTGACAAGTGCGATGTGCTGGTGGAGAACTATGTGCCCGGCACACTGGAACGCTACGATCTTGGCTATGAGCAGCTGCGACAGCTGAATCCCCGTTTGATCTACTGCACCATCAGTGGCTATGGGTCGGTGGGTCCCTATGCCAAGTGTCCGGGCTACGATGTGATTGCCTCCTCTATGGGCGGCCTGCTGCATATAACGGGCGAACGTGACGGACCGCCCAGCAAGGTGGGCGTGGCAGTTACAGATGTGGCAACGGGTTTATATGCGCACGGCGCCATTCTGGCCGCCCTGCTGCAGCGGGAGCGCACACAGCGCGGTCAGAAGATCGACGTGAACCTGCTGTCCACGTGCTGCTCGCTGCTGATCAATGTGGCCAGCAACTATCTGAACGCCGGCACAGAGGCCAAGCGCTGGGGCACAGCCCATTCCAGCATTGTGCCCTACCAGAGCTTCAAGACGGCCGATGGCTACCTGACCCTGGGCGCCGGCAGTGATGCCCAGTTCGTGGAGCTGTGCAGCCGTCTGAACATTGAGCCAGTGTCGCTCGATGTCAAATTCAAGACCAACAAGGATCGCGTAAAGAATCGCGAAGAGCTAATCAATCTGCTGGCCAAGATCTTGGCACGCGACTCGTCCAAAAACTGGATGCGCCTCTTTGAGGGCGCCTCCTTTGTGGTGGGCCCCGTCAACAGTATACGCGAGGTGTTCGAGGATGAGCACGTCCAGGCCATAGGCCTGGTCAAGACTCTGCCACATCCGCGCGATGGCAGCGTCAAGGTCGTGGGTCCCCCAGTCGTGTACAGTGAAGCACGCAACGATGCACGCACTGCTCCACCCATGCTCGGAGAGCACACAGACGAAGTGCTCACCAAACTTCTGGGCTATGGAGCTGAGCAAATTGCAGAGCTTCGCAGTCAGCGCATCATTCAGTAAAGGATGCCATACCCAGAATCGTATTATACTACAAAGTATACCCACAGAGCTTTCTAGCATGAAATGGAATTTCAGTAAAGAGCTTAAAGCATAGTTCACATGCCTTACGTCCATCAGGAAAACAGCTCACAAAAAATGTACATTCATTAAGAAAAATATTTTTGTATCTTTATAGCTTTACATTAAAGTCGAACATTTACGGACTACACTGTGCCGCTTAACACTTGATCTCTACAAATAGCCGAATCTATCTAGATATATTTGAAGCTGAGTGACTAAAGCTTAAAAGTTATGAACCTGAAACTCTATAAGGGGAAATGTCGAAGTCGACTAGCTGGAAGACTGTGTTCGTTTTCATATAAGATCATAGCTCAGGCACTATCAGGCCTACTATGCTTTGTTCTCATAAGTAATCAGCTAAAATCCCGATACTTATGCTTAACGTAATGCATCCAAAGCCAAGAAACAAGATTGTAAAAAATTTAAGGATAACGTAAACATTTCTTTTATATATAACACGATAACAAATATACCTGTATGAAGCGTATACGATTTTGAACAGTGTATACACAAAGTTAAAATTTGTACAGTATGAATTTATTGATTTTCTAATTTTTTTTTTAATTTTTTTTTATTTGATACTTTTTAGTCTAATTTTGTTCAACACAAATTAATTAATTAAATTATATTTTATATTTAATTTATAACATAATCTAAATTTATTTAATTTAATATTTATAGTTATATATATATATATATATTTTAATTTTTATTTATTAATTTTTTTTATTTGATTCTTTTTAGTCAAATTTTGTTCAACACAAAACAAAAAAAAATTTGGCTTATTAAAGCAATGTCTTGATGTTAAAGGTGAGCCCAGGTTGCACCTGGGAGTCAGCTAAGCTGACCAGTGTTGGTCAACAACAACAAATTGCCTCAGCTTTACCGCAGTGGCTGACAGATGTGGCAAGCGCTGCGAGTGGCCTCTCTTGTCGTTAGATTGGCATATGCATTGAGTGAGCTGTGGATTGAAAGCCCCAAAAAAAACACGCCTCAACCCCTGCTTCAGCAGCAAACCATAACCCGAGGCTGTACCCTCTGTCTATTGATATTTTACAAGATATTGCCAATTTTAAGGTGCGTCTATGTATCTATGTATGCACATATGCATACACACACATGTGTGCGTGTGTGCGTGTAATAAGTTGTACTTACCTTTTTGTTGCGAATCAGCTTGGCTAGATCGACGGCAGGTATCTCCAGCAGATGACTGCGTATGGGCGGCAACTTGCGCCGTATCACCTTGATGTTGGTGTAGCGGCTATAGGGCACCACAAACCAACTGAAGACAATCATGGCCGAGCGCAGGAAGCGGCGCATGATGTACCCCAGGATCCTGGAACACAGTAGGACAGCAATTTTGACGGCTTTGCGTTAGACGACTTCAAAGTGAAATTATTTCAAATAGGTATATATATATCTAGATATATATATATATATATATATATTTATATAGATGGTATCCAGCAGACACAAGCGAACAGGTTGGCCAACAAGCGAAAGGATTGTGCAATATGCAGCTGGTCTGCAATTGCAGTGACTGCGACCGCGACGTCGACGGCGACGTAGGCAGCGACTGCGGCGGCTGCTGCGATTTGCGCTTGCACAACTCAATACACGAGTCGAGCTCGAATTCGAATTCGTTGTTTTGGCTCGAAAACTGGCGATGGCTTAATACTTTTTTTTTCTGTTTTTACTATTTTTCTCTATTTTTGGTCAGTTGGCTAATAGCTGTTGGCAAAACACTTTCTTAAGCGCGACTGCATCTCAATTTAGTTGCGGCAGCGATTGCATTTTTCTAGACGAATTTGTATGCGCTGCAAACGCATGCGTACCGTATCACTGGCTTTCATTTTGTTACACTATGTTTTTGGTTTTGTTTTGTTTTTGTTTTTGTTGTTACTGTTGTGGGGTCTATTACATTTGTAACCGATCGCAGCGAATTGAAACGACTTGAAGCGAATTGAACGAGCGAACCGATGCGAACGACGCGCGCTAAGCAAATAAATGAGTAGCTAGCGCAGCGCATAACATTTAAAGCTCTGCTTGGCTCGCCCGTTAGCTGCGCTCACAGCGCTGAGCCGAAAGCTTGAACCGGTTCGTCTGCTGCGTGACGCTTTCTCTTTAAGCTGCGTCCGCTCTTAAGTGCATGTGCCTTTATAGTTCATTTGTGAGTCCCATTCGCTCTGCGCAAATGGACTCAGCGAAAATTCAAAGAACTCAAACGGATGCCCTGAATAAACCATAAGTAAGATGGAATTATACAATAATTTAAGCTTGATGTAAGCTCGTTACATTTGAGAAGAAGTTAGAATTTAATTTTCCATGTAATTATATATTGTTATATATCTTTATAGATTGGTGCGTCAGTAAGGCTAATTACTTTATATGCTTCCAGCTAACCTACAATTAGCCGAACTTTTGATCTTCGATTTATTTGCATTTCTTGTTATTAGTGCAGTGCGAAGAAACTGAGACAAGTTGTTCCTTTGAACTGTTTGTTAATTATACAGCTTTTAGCCAATCGACAGTTATTAGAATGACGTGTATAAGAAAAAGGCTTAGAAACTGAAAGTGAGATCATCGAGAGAAAAGGGCAAAAATATTCTCAGTTGAATATGGAATTCTGCTGTTTCTGCTAAAATAAATAAACAAATAAGTAATATGAATGCATCTGTATATATACGTAAGCTCAAATATTTATAAGCGCTGAAACGTGGGAGTATGAGATGTTAGGGGCAGATATACATATTTGGGCGCTCATGCCTGACGAATATTTAATGGCAATTTAGCAATTTTTTTGTGCTGTAAATATTTTAAATGTTTACTATTAAGCTGTCTACGAGGTAAAAATTGTTTTTTAATTGCGCAACTATTAGAGTTTATAGCTTTAAGCCGACCAATTTAGAGCGTTGTTTACAAACAATTGTATATAATTAAAGTACTTTGGGAGTGCCAAAATTTAGAAGCTTCCTAATGACTTAAATTACAATCAGTCAACTTAAGCTCACGCAAAATGTTTAAGTAAACAAAACTTACATTTTTTTCTGCTTCTTTTTTCTCGAGTAGGACTTTTGCTCTTTGATGGGGGAAAAAACACGAAGCAGGTTTTATATTGCATTTATTATTTTTTATTTTTAGTTCAATGCGGGAAAGTACCAAGGTAAATGGTAATATAGCGGAAGATGTAAAAATAGTTGAGTAATAATTGAAGAACATTCCAAGAGCAGCAAACGGAGGGAAACGAACTCTACTTGAACAGCAAAGAGCGCCAATAAAATATATGTCCAGCTTAGTTAGTTATCTACACTTAAATGATAAACATGCTGTTATCGTATATGCTAAAAAATACGTATAGCTAAGAGAAACTGAGAGAGAGAGAGAGAACGGGAGCACGTTGTGCTAAGAGCGAATAGTGGGCGATGTTTTAAGAAAGCTCTCACGCGTCAGCTGTGCTTGATTCAGTGGCTGCTCACCAGTTGCCTGGAAAACTTTCCGTTAAGAATACTCGCATAGCGCAGAAGAACGAAAACATCAACAACAACAGCAACAACAGAGAAAGTGACTGTCAATAGCAAAGCGAATAACAATTGATTGGAAGTAAACAGTTACTCTCTATGGCTATGTGGTTACAACGTTTACGACTCTCACGCGCTGCCGCTGCCGCTGCTGCTGCAACGCGTCAAAGTTTGCGAAGCTTTGCCGCTGCCAGCAAGCATAACAACAGCAACGATAACCTTGAGGCTTCTTCCATAGATGAACGTCATCCGCTGCGAGGCGTGCGTATATTAGATCTCACGCGCATTGTCGCTGGACCCTATTGCACGATGGTGCTGGCTGATCTGGGCGCCGAGGTGATAAAGGTGGAGCGTCCCCATTTTGGGGATGAAGCGCGCAAATGGGGACCGCCGTTTCTTGAGGAGTGCGGCGATGCGGCCTATTTTCTAGCGCCCAATCGCAACAAGCAGAGCGTTTGCATTGATCTCAAGCGGGGCAAGGAGCTGATGAGACAGCTGGTTGACAAGTGCGATGTGCTGGTGGAGAACTATGTGCCCGGCACACTGGAACGCTACGATCTTGGCTATGAGCAGCTGCGACAGCTGAATCCCCGTTTGATCTACTGCACCATCAGTGGCTATGGGTCGGTGGGTCCCTATGCCAAGCGTCCGGGCTACGATGTGATTGCCTCCTCTATGGGCGGCCTGCTGCATATAACGGGCGAACGTGACGGACCGCCCAGCAAGGTGGGCGTGGCAGTTACAGATGTGGCAACGGGTTTATATGCGCACGGCGCCATTCTGGCCGCCCTGCTGCAGCGGGAGCGCACACAGCGCGGTCAGAAGATCGACGTGAACCTGCTGTCCACGTGCTGCTCGCTGCTGATCAATGTGGCCAGCAACTATCTGAACGCCGGCACAGAGGCCAAGCGCTGGGGCACAGCCCATTCCAGCATTGTGCCCTACCAGAGCTTCAAGACGGCCGATGGCTACCTGACCCTGGGCGCCGGCAGTGATGCCCAGTTCGTGGAGCTGTGCAGCCGTCTGAACATTGAGCCAGTGTCGCTCGATGTCAAATTCAAGACCAACAAGGATCGCGTAAAGAATCGCGAAGAGCTAATCAATCTGCTGGCCAAGATCTTGGCACGCGACTCGTCCAAAAACTGGATGCGCCTCTTTGAGGGCGCCTCCTTTGTGGTGGGCCCCGTCAACAGTATACGCGAGGTGTTCGAGGATGAGCACGTCCAGGCCATAGGCCTGGTCAAGACTCTGCCACATCCGCGCGATGGCAGCGTCAAGGTCGTGGGTCCCCCAGTCGTGTACAGTGAAGCACGCAACGATGCACGCACTGCTCCACCCATGCTCGGAGAGCACACAGACGAAGTGCTCACCAAACTTCTGGGCTATGGAGCTGAGCAAATTGCAGAGCTTCGCAGTCAGCGCATCATTCAGTAAAGGATGCCATACCCAGAATCGTATTATACTACAAAGTTTACCCACAGAGCTTTCTAGCATGAAATGGAATTTCAGTAAAGAGCTTAAAGCATAGTTCACATGCCTTACGTCCATCAGGAAAACAGCTCACAAAAAATGTACATTCATTAAGAAAAATATTTTTGTATCTTTATAGCTTTACATTAAAGTCGAACATTTACGGACTACACTGTGCCGCTTAACACTTGATCTCTACAAATAGCCGAATCTATCTAGATATATTTGAAGCTGAGTGACTAAAGCTTAAAAGTTATGAACCTGAAACTCTATAAGGGGAAATGTCGAAGTCGACTAGCTGGAAGACTGTGTTCGTTTTCATATAAGATCATAGCTCAGGCACTATCAGGCCTACTATGCTTTGTTCTCATAAGTAATCAGCTAAAATCCCGATACTTATGCTTAACGTAATGCATCCAAAGCCAAGAAACAAGATTGTAAAAAATTTAAGGATAACGTAAACATTTCTTTTATATATAACACGATAACAAATATACCTGTATGAAGCGTATACGATTTTGAACAGTGTATACACAAAGTTAAAATTTGTACAGTATGAATTTATTGATTTTCTAACGTTTCTTTCCAATTGGCGATAACGTATATACGACAATAATCGCAGCTGCAAGTTTACTTGATATGCCGGTAAGGAGGACTACTTAGAGATACGATTTATCTATACTACGCAATCGTCCCACTGTCATACACTCGCACATACATACATACATACACACACACACAAACACACACTCACACACACACACACACACACACACACACACACACACACACACACACACACACACACACACACACACACACACACACACACACACACACACACACACACACACACACACACACACACACACACACACACACACACACACACACACACACACACACACACATACACTTACACATATGATCAGCTTCAACGGAATTATGTACCATGGGTCGACCGTACGCTGCGAGAGATATTTATTACGCTAATGCTTATTACATTGGCCTTATTTGTCAACATTATTGGCTGGATGGCTTTCGTCTTGGCCTTAATGAAACACTACAAATACTCGCGGTATTCAGTCGATAAGCCCGATTCGACAAACCGTTCCAAAGCACTCGGCTAACCCACTTACCCGTCCAGCAAAATGGCTTCCAGTTGGACACGCACGCAGGCGACTATCGATTTTAGCAAACGCATCACTGGGTTGACCTGGCACATGGCACAAGGCACAGGAACAAATAGGAAATGGAAAGTTGATACAAGTGAATATGAACATAGAAATAAAAACATAGAAATTGTAAGGAGCACGCAACAACAAGAGCAACAAGCGCGTAACTCACTTATCGTTATTCACTTGAGTTTTATTTCTCTTATTCGTTTCGTTACGTTTCTATACGTTTTTTCTTCTTTTGGTCAATCAGTGAGTCGCGCTTGCTTTGTTGTGAATAGGCCGCGAGCTCTGCCTAAACTAACTCTGAACGGAGACAGTGCAAGTGCCGCTGCCTGCATTATATAAATTTTATATTTGTATTTATTTTTAATGCTGGCTCAGTTGGCTGTACGAAAACACTACGGCGACACACACCCTGCTATGCGCTCGAGCCCCACTGTGAACTCGAATGTACCTTGTACTTTACACAGAAATTTCATTGTTTACGTGTTCTATGCTCCTCCTCCATGTTTCATCTGTAGGCAGACTGAGTGGGACAGCGACATATTCAGATAGGCCGAGGGCAAAGGTAAAGGTGACTAGTGATGGGAACAAAGACACTTGGCTATCTAATTACATAATATATGTAGTTATGTGTGTGTATGTGCGTATTTGTGTGCACAACTGACAATGATTTAGTTAAAGGTAAATTTACAGACGAACAAATAATTGGTAAACCGAAAAGCTTTAATTGATATGAAATATATATTAAATAAAATGTGAATAACATTTATGATTACTTCAGCTAGAACGTTAAGCAATGAATGCAAATGTTTGTGCACTTGCACTTATATTTATGTAAATTGTCTAGGGACATTAACATTTTGACACCTTTGTGCACCTGTTGCTTATAAAACTGCATACACTGAATACAAAGTCTACAATAATTGGTTCTACAGAAGGTTACCTAAGTCTAGACAATTAAACAAAAAGTATAACTAATAATAATAATAATTTTTTATATAATTTAAATGTAAATATTTAAGCGCCATTATAATGGGAATGCCAACTACGACTAAAATATCTTGGGCATTTTTAGTGCATTCACGAGGTAATCGAAAGCTGGTTATCGATTTATTACCATTATCATCTCTATGCACAAATATGTTAAATAATAATAATAATAATCGGGAGCCTGTCATAATTTGTTAAATAAAAATGCCGACGACACGAAAACCCACTTTTGTGTCCCGCAACCTAGTGGCTATTGTCATGATACCCAGCCTGATTGCCGTGCACTTCGGCTGGGCGATTTTACAAGATAATCGAAAGCTGGTGACCGCCGAGGAACAAATTGATTTGCCTCCCGTTACGGTAAATGGAACAAAAACTGATAAATCAGATGAGAAATATATATATATATATAAATAAAATAATCTTGCAGTTTGCTAAATTTGCGTGGAAGCGACTGACGGGCGATCATGGCGTCGTTGCGGAGAAGAGCGACTCGAAATGAGCGCGTGAATTGTAAATTGTATTCGGGTTAAACTAGTTAAAAACTATTTATTGCATTCAACTGATGCAGTAATTAGATCTACAGTAAACTTTAAACGTTAATATACAAGCTAACACAAAAACAGACGACGTACATACAATACATATACATATATGCTTATGTAAAATAAAATTAAACAGACTGAAAGCGTCCGCAACTAATTTACAATATTAATTAATTAGCTAATTAATTATTGCGTCAGTGACGAGTTGACTGTGAGATTGTCGAGTTGTGCATTGAAGAGGACATCGCTGATGAGCTTCTCGGCAATGATGCGTTGCGTGTGGTTGATCGATCGCAATTTGCTGGCCACATTTACCCCAATTGCATCGTATTCATCCTCATGCCGGTGCGAGGTGGCGGGCGCTGCGGTTGTATACGCTGTAGTCGCTGCGCTTCCAAACAGCGGCTGGTAATGATCCCGTCCAATCTGTATGGTCGGTACAGGTTGGGCATGTCCATTTGCCTGATGGTGCAGGTGCTGCAATTGCTGTTGGTGATGCTCGAGTGAGTTGACAGCCTGCCAAGCAGAGGAAGAGAGAGTATTGAGTTTATGTTATATGCAATATTTTGCACACGCACCTGTTGTATCTCGCGCTGCGAATTGGAGTCGAGCGATGTTATCTCCAGCACCTTGACCGCATGTCCGCCTGCTGCAGCAGCAGCTAACGAAGACTGTGCAGCGTTCGCCTGTGCAACTAAACGCTGATGTGCCTCTGCCACCTCGTTGTGCGTCTGATGCGTCTCATCCTTTACAAGTGTCACACAATCCGCAGGTGTTACCGAGATGGTGCTCAACGTGGCGCCCTGACTACTGACCACCACATTGTTGGCGGCGACGGCGGCAACCTCTGCCTCGACTTCATCGCTGGGGTTGGGCACAATGGTTTCAATATGTTGTGACTGCGGCGTATGATGGGATTCTTCCTCGTAATCCATAGAGTCGTCATCGTCAAAATTGATTTGCAGCTCTCTTTTGGGCTTGCCGGTCAATTCGTTTGAGTGGCGCTTGGGTTTGTGGTCTGCTATGAAGAGCAGCTTGTCGTAGTACCAGAGACGCGTCTCGTAGTCGGTTTTGGAGGAGGATTTGCGAAATTCTCGACGAAACGCGGATCGTAATGAGTTGATCTTCCTAACGACCATGGCGCGATCTGGATTTGGCTCAACTTCTTTTAGTTTTTCAACCAGTTTGTCGTATGCTTTATTTCTGGCGGCGTGATTGCTGTAGTCGTGGTGTTTTGGCTGCCACAGGCATTCCTCCTCTTGGTACTGCTCAATGAACTCGGTTAGCCAGTGTCGAGAATAGGATCGCAAGTCATTATTTATGTTCGATACGTTCATTGTTTTCCTTTTTGTTTTTGTATATTTTTACACTTTGATATTTTGCTGTTTTTCTCCAAGTGCGTCTCGCGTGAAGTTGGTTGCTGCTGCTGCAGTTTAGTGCTGCCTGATCCATGATAAATGCAACACTATTTCAGCGATGTGGCAGCACTTTGTAATTTGGCAACGATGCAGCCCTAGTACCCCATACAGTTCTCTGTTTTTGTCAAATGGTCAGAAAAGACGGAAAGGCGAAGCCGCGCAGCGAATTCTTATTATGTATTAAATAATACAAAAAATACGCGTTGTGAATGAAATCAAAATAAATGATTGTGGCGTTCCGAATTGTTAGCTACAGCTAGTGAGTGCATGAGCGTGCCGCTGCAAAACAACATTGCGTTGTTGTTGTTGTTGCTGCTGCTGCATGTCAAAAAAGAATACGCAAAAAATCTTTGTTAACAACAAAAACAAAGGTGCGTTATCGTCATTGCCTAGGCAGCACATTTTAAAAATCTCTAAATTTGTCAAATTATATAATATGACTTTGTGTGCGTGTATATGTGTCTAAGTGGGCAACCAAATACGTGATAAATTAACGCATTAAAATCAAAACAGAGAACGTATGAAATGTATTTCTGTTGGAATGTGTGGGGTGCTGTGAAGGGTATGGGGGTTGCCGCACTGTTGGGGTGCATAACAAAGGAATCAAGTGAACCAAAAGTGAAATACGGTTAAGCAACAGCTGTTTATTGTGCCCGTTGTCTGGTCAGACAATTCCAATCAGAATTGCATCACAACGAATTGCTCAAAACGTAAACGAAACGCAACGAAGTAATAATTAAAAACTAATATTTGTATATTTTTGAATTTAATAAACATATTTTAATGTCACATAAATTTACATAGGTGATACATGCGTTGGCTAGCAAAATTGAGCCGAGTGCAAAGTCCATTCCAATCAGAACTAGAATTGCTATTGCCACATGCTTCCTATTAGACAAAGCGAGCGTCAAATCTAATATGAGTGAATCTATTTATAAACCACACTCAATTGCGCATGCAAATATACATAAATATATATGCATTTACATATATATGTGTATCACTAAGCGACAGCCTTGACTCAATGGCAAACAACAAATAACATTTAACGAACTTGTTTACATACGTTTTGCCGGCTTAGTGCAAAATCTCACCCATCTAACCGACCAACCAGCTGCCTCCCAGCATCCAGTTTACAGTGGTACACAAATGATTTGTCTACGAAATCCTTATCTAGTAGAATTTTCAGCAAATGCAACTTTAAATATCTGAGCTAAATATTTTAATTAATATATTTCTGTTCTCAGTCCAATCTAAATATAACATTTTCAAGGTCTTCTAAAAATATCAAAATTAAAATGTTCTGCTTTATTTTGTATATACAAATAATAAATATTAAAATTAAATTAGTTAGTTTCTAGCACGTGAAATTTATACATCCAAATACCTGAAACTGGAACAGCTTTCATGCGGAATTTAAAAAAAAAAGATAATCTTAATTTCCCTAGAAAAATTCAAACATATTTAAGTCCAAGAATCATTTCTTCTGATTGTAAAATAATATTGTTAGTCTAAACCATTTTTTGAGTTGTCCACAAAATTCTAGAAGCACAGTTAAATCGTAGTTCTTGCTTAGAGCAAGGTCTGTTTCATTTTTTTCTTTATATATTGAACGGCCGTTTTAATTTTATCTCTCGGGCAGCTGCTGTACGCTAAGCTGTATCTTATCATTAGAGATATAAGAATTTTTTATCATGAGCTACGCTCGTTTCTGTCTAATGCCAAAACGTGTTCAAGGTGAAACGATTCGCTTCTAGAAACCAAATTCGCCCGGCTGCTCTTTTTCACATCGATACGTAGAAAATAGGCCCATATATAAGTATGTGTGACCTACCCATATAGAATAGTCGTTTGGGAGGTGTGTGCCAGCACATGTGCTTGTTATAATTGATGTTTGGTGATAATTTGTTGTTATTGCTGGCTTGTTTACATTTTTTAGTGAATAACAGGTTTCTATACTCTTATCTGGAGAACTATGGTTTTCTCATGGCATATGTAACAGCTGAAAACTGTCTTCTGTGATGTGACAGTAAAACTGTGGCAAGCAATAAAACAGCTTATTTTCTTTTCTTTATTGTCAACTTGTGTCAACTGTTGTTGTAAATAAAACCCCAAAAGGTAAACTGATACGTGTTCAACGTGTTATAATCTAATCAGAATGGTTAATCAACGAACAGTCTTTGAACAGTAGCTGTCCAAGCAAAGTACACTTCAAATGTTCAGATACAGATTTCATCTTTGTCGCAATTGATTGCATAAATCTTAATTGTTTTCCATTTTCTTGAAACGATGCCAAAATACAAATTTAACAAATGGTTTCGTTTCGTTACGAAACAGTCGTGAAAGTTCTCGCCTTACTAGTTTTTCCATTGATTCGACTTATCGCCTTAAGCTGATAAGAGCTTGAGCTCAAACATAATACTTTGGCTACTCTTTTTAGTGATTGTGGGATCTGTCGGAGTGCATCAGTGCTTAGGCATACGACCGGGAGTCATAATTGAAATTAAAGTCTGTGTTACCTCTCTCCCATTGCAGTCTGCCATGAGCCGCCTTATAGAGAAGCCCAACATTGCCATGTCCATTACATCAACAGGTAGTCAATTATCCAGCACAGTTGTCACTGGCTCGGCCATAGCAGACGACACACCTGCTCCGGCAGAGGACGAGGATGGCCACAGAAGCGCAACGGGAATCCAAACTCCAGTTGCCTCCGTCGAACAGAACGCCAAGTCCACAAGTGGTAGGTTTTCCTAGTCGATAGTGCCTCTTTACTGGAGAGATATTTATCAGTCAGATTTATATCGATTATTAGCAAGCGACTTAACAGACATCGATATTTATCGATTGCCAGCAAGTAGTGCAGATAGCGATCAGTTATAGAATTATTAGCAAAGTTTGTCAACGAGATATGCTATATAAACCAAATCGATATTTATCGATCGCCAATAAAAGAATTATGAATATATATATAGATATATATATATATATATATATATAGATATATATATAGATATATATATATATATATAGATAAATTGTAAATGAATCAGATTTTCTATTCCACGATCTCTCGACGTATCAATTTGATTTTTTCAACATATATTCAATACAGTTGTAATTCTTATGAAATATTTACCTTTTTTGAATTATTTTAAATAGGTAGACTGTATAAATAGTATTTTCACTTCGTTCAGTTGTAAGCAGTGATTAACACTTATCGTCATTTCACACAGCTTCAGTGTTTATTTAAATTTAAGAAATATGTGTTAAAATGCAGTTCTATCAATTTTAAGTGAAATATAACTTATTGAATACTTTGATTATTAAATTTCGTGTTTATCAGATAGACAGATATAGTACAGTAGATACCATCCAGACGTATATTGCAAAAATTCATGTTTCCCCTTGATCCACCCTTTTTAGTGCGCAACAAAGTGGACCAGGTCCTCATCAGTCTGATATCGGGCGCAGCGGCCGGGGCTTTGGCTAAGACCACAATAGCACCGTTGGACCGCACGAAAATCAATTTTCAGATACGCAAGGATGTGCCATTTTCATTCAAGGCTTCGCTCAACTACCTGCAGCAGACATATGCCAAGGAGGGCGTCCTGGCGCTGTGGCGCGGCAACTCGGCGACTATGGCACGCATTGTGCCCTACGCAGCCATCCAGTTCACGTCCCACGAGCAATGGCGACGCGTTCTGCAGGTGGACCAGAATGGCGCTAAGTAGGTTAACAATTAATTGAAAGATTCCTTAATTATTCGAAATCTACTTGTCTTTCAATAGTACGAAAGGACGTCGTTTTATCGCCGGTTCGTTGGCGGGCATCACATCACAGTCCTTGACCTATCCTTTGGACTTGGCTCGCGCTCGCATGGCTGTCACGGATAGATACACGGGCTATCGCACGCTGCGTCAGGTGTTCTCCAAGATCTGGGTGGAGGAAGGTCCGCGTACCCTGTTCCGTGGCTATTGGGCTACTGTTTTGGGTGTTATACCTTATGCGGGGACCTCATTCTTCACCTACGAAACGCTCAAACGCGAATATCATGGTAAACCAAAGCTCTTCTTCAGTTATCCTTCATAAAGCTCGTGCTTTCTTTTCAGAAATTATTGGCAATACAAAACCGAATGCTTTAGTTTCGCTGGCATTTGGCGCCGCAGCCGGTGTAGCTGGTCAAACGGCTAGCTATCCGCTGGACATTGTGCGTCGGCGAATGCAGACGACCCGGGTGAACATCAATGAGCCGCAACGTTCTCTCACGATACTGGGAACGCTTATTAAGATATACAGGTATTGTTTGGGACTCCAAAGATTGCAATTCGAATTCTAATTTATGTGGATCACTTGCTTTTCACAGGGAGGAGGGCATCAAAAACGGCTTCTATAAGGGCCTGAGTATGAACTGGATTAAGGGTCCCATTGCCGTTGGCATTAGCTTCTCCACGTATGATCTGATCAAGGCTTGGCTTATAGAATTGTCTCATTTGAAGCGCGGTCGGGCTGAAAATTAGCAGATGACCTTCAAACACATACACACACAAACACACATACTCATTGACTTACAAACACACATGCATACACACCTACACACACATAAATATATATATATATATATATATATATATATATATATATATATATACACATAAGAAAAGAAATAGACAACGCACTGCTTTCGCTCTTAAGTTAAATGTTCGGAGAGCATGAAAGGATTTTGTCATGCAGCATCAACATTGTTATATTTGAATGATATTTTTAGATGTTAACTATGAGAGTCATGATGAATACACAAACGCATACTTCTGTTATTCACTGTAAACGATTATTTTCTTTAAGCTGAAAGTAAACACAACACAATAAAAACACAAAGCTGTCTGTATAAAGTTTCAAATTAAGGCTACTACTGCACTGATTTTGATGCTTTATTTGTACTTACAACATCGACAATAACTTTTCCATATATACAACTCTATATTTTAAACTGATTATATAGCTTGTATTCTACCTTGCCAAGTGTGAAATTTACGTTAAAATTGGCTTGTGGTAGTGAAAGCTGTAAAAATATTGTAAACAAATTTGGTATGCATTTTCGAATGTTTAGCCGTGATCAATAGTTTAATATATTATATGTGAGTGTTTTTATTAGCAAAAATAAATTAACAATAGTTTGAATCAAATTTTTAAAACGGCCGAAATATTTTCGTTGTTTTTGATCTGGCAACTCTTACGATAGCTTTAGTTCGATAACGTTCCTACTTCAGCGTTTGGCCAAATCTGCCATCTCTAGTCGCGTTTAGTTGTGCAAAAATAGTGCGCAAAAACAAATTGCTTATTTATTTCATTTATTTTATTTAAAAACAAGTCATAATTCGTTAACTGTTCCTAACTAATTCGCGTGCTATATGTAGATTATGTGTCCTCAAGCACTGGCGTTTATTTACCTTTCTGTTTCGTTTTAACCGAGCGTGGATGAAAAGTGACCATTCATATATACTAGTACATAAATAACTAAAGCTTATGATGACTTCTGCTTAGAAACAGGTGAGTGTCGGAATTGGGGAAGGTGGCAAGTGCATGTGTAAAATAAGACGACTATTGATTTATTGTAGTCATGGCCGCTCCCTTGTGGGCGGACTGCTGGCGAACAACAGGTGAACAGAGTTGCCATACAGTCATTTAAGCCTTTCTGCAATTTTAAATTGCGAAAAATCAATTTATTTCCGTATATCATTTAATTAAAATTTAACACATGGTTGACTACTGCAACATTTTGCAGGGCACAAAACAATGCTGTTACTTGCTCTAACTGGTACAATTGATAATGATACATGACATCGAGGATTCCGGTAATATCTGATAACTCTAATCAGAAACTTACGTATATGAATTGTAGAACTTTATAATAGCAGAAAGTATTATTATATTATAAGTGAAGCTGTTATTTGCAACTCATGGAAAAAGGGTGATAAGGCACGATTGCTGAGAAAAAAGGGACTTTCCTTAATTGGGTATGATATTTGTAATATAAATTTAAAAAATGAATCAATTGGAATAATCTATCATGGGTTGCTTACGTCTGTTAATGAGATACATTTTCTTCAATAATTTAAAACGGGGCCTTTTTAATTCAAATATATACAAATTGGGTAGTTTTCAACTGCAAACAGAATTCAGACTGTCTGGCCACGCGGCTGTTCTATATGTTTGCAGTGCCATTTTGAGTAAAATGGTTTAATATTGATGTTAACAGGTCGGCTTTACATTAATGTTCGTGCGTCCAATCGGGTTGGTGGTGTGCCCTCGCGGCTTTTGCAATTGTAATACGAATTAAATATATTTTACAAATTATATTGTTTGAAAAAAAAAAACTTAATTCGTCGCCCGCTCAATTCGCATTTTATTGAGCGCTCAGGCACCCGAATTCAAGCACAGTATTTTCGTAGAGTAGAGTTGAAGTGATAGTGTTCGTGTAGTTGTGTGGCGCGTTTATTTGTGTAAGTGTGAGTGTATACGATTTAAAAATAAAACGGCAAATACATATCAAAATATTAAAAGCAAGAAACAGAAGAAGAAAAGGTCTGCTCGTGTATTTTACGTGAGTGAGTGTTTATGTGTGTGTGCTCTTCTGCTCTGCACTAGTGTACGCGTGTGTGTGTTGGGGCCATCGCTACCAATACCAACATATGCACACACATACATTCTTCGTACGTGTTTACACCTTCTGAGCTGTTTGTGTATTAAAGGTAAATAGAATATAGAGAAAAGAGCAAAACACGGGCACGTTCTCTGCTCTGTGTTCTGTGCACAAAACCAACAAGCAATTGCTGTCGGCGGGGGCTGTGCGTGGGCGGGCCATAGCCGCTGCCTCTGCTTGCTGCTGCTGTTGCTGCACTTATCCCCTCGTATAAGGAGGATTTTTGTGGAGAATTCTAGGAAAATACATATATTTTTTTTATTATTGAATATAATTTTATTTTTTGACTCATTTCTATAATTTTTAATCCATTTTTTAGTATTTGAAAAGTATACATGCATATGTATATACTTATGCATATGTATGTATTAGTGCATATGTATTTACACACGTGTGTGCAGTCTGTGTGCCTGACCATGCAAAATCATGTGTTGCCACTTGGGCAGACATTATGTTGTTGTTTCTTGTTGCGCTCCTGTTTCTTATTGTTTTTCTTGCTGGCTGTGCATGTCGTCTTCGTCGTCGCCGTTGCAGTTGCAGTCGCAGTCGCTGTGGCCATCGTCTTTCGCTGTTAATTCTTGGAAAAATCATAAAAACAAAAGCAAAAGAATTTTCGAGTGCAATAGCAGCGAATATATTAGCTCCCATCTCTTTCTCGCTCTCACAATCACATTTGCTACTCTTGCTTTCTTGCAGAGACAGCGCCTGCGACAGCGACAGCGACGTCGACGTCGTTTCATGTCGCGTCGCGTCGCGCTGTTCTGTTCGTTCTGCCCGCTCAACACTTTATCTTCTTCTGTTGTTCTGTTCTTCTGGTCTTGGTTCGTTCTTTCGTTCAATGTGTTGCGCACACAAATAAACTTCCACACTCACACTTACACACACATGTCCGCACTGGCCGTGGGCTGCCATTTACCATTTTGGACAAATTACTTTTCTCGTCGCCGTCGCCGTCGTTGTCGTCGGTGTGTCAATGACGCCGCTGTCCACTAACGCTGTGACCAACTGATTCTGCTGCGGTCGTAATCGCGTCTATCGAAGCCTTCTCACAGATAAGCTGCGATAAGGTTAGTCAAGTTAAAAGCCTTCCTCCTCCTCCTTTTCTTTCTCTCCCTCTCATAGCTATACCGCAGTGTAATTGATACACCTTTATGGCAACTAAATGCAACGCAATATGTGTAAAAAGATCAAGAAAGTGCTTATCAAATGTTTGTGTATACATGAGCTGCTTGTGTGTGCGTAGGTGAACTTTAATTAATCAGTGTTGCGTCTGCTGCAGCGTTTGCTGTTTCTGTTGCTGTTGCTCTATAAAATTGTGCAGAAAATATAAAACACTTGAAAGAGCTGTTGCCAGATGTTCGACTGTGTGCGTGTGAGGGCTGTCAGACTGATAAAACGCTGTAGCACAAATTTTAAATAGTCTATAGCATACATCTATATATGTGTGCATGTGTGTATATGCATATTGATAGATGAATATACAAATTGAAGTATCGATACTTTGCTTACGTGCGTTATTGTTTGCTAATATCTTATTTATTGCACAGTGGCTAAGGATCGCAAGAGTGAATGAAATAACAGTTGAACAACAACAACAGCAACAATGACGATAATTGATTACCCAATATAAACCCAATAAAATATCTGGTGGGTGGGTTTGACATTTGATGTTGCCAGCAAACATCCAAAGCAAAGGCGCACGTACTTACTCTGTCCCTCTCGCTCCCTCTCTCGCCTTCTCTCTTTCTCGTTTCACACACACGGATACAGAATTTTACTTCCACAAGCAAAAGCGCTTATTAAACTTTTATGAGCGCAGTAACAAATAGCACAAAAACGGCACGGAATAAATATACATATGTGTGGGGGCTATATATAAAAATATACATATATATATATATATATATATATATATATATATATATGGGTATATAAGTTTGTATAAAAAAATTAAAACGTAAGAACAACTTTTTCTAGCCTTCACCGAAGTACTTTATACTCTCAATAAATACAGTTTTCATCAATTTACATGAAAGTGATACAGAGTTTAGGAATATCGATTCAATAGACTTTGATTATTATTATAGAAATATGGATGTCAACTTTTGAACGCCGTATTAATTAGCAAAAGTTATTCTAAACTCATTTTATTGAGCTGCAAATAACATTCGTATGTTCAGCTATCGTTGGTTTGTATTAAAATGTTTAACATTTTAACAGTGCTCCAAATAAATGATTTTATTATTGTTGTTTTTTTTTTGTGTTCCAATTGCACAGCATATTTTCAATGCCTTATCTTTGATTGTGTATAGAAATACACTCAATATGATTTGAAGGCAGACAGGAAAGAAAAAAACAAATGTCGAAGCAGCAAAAAAAGGGCATCAACAAAAAATAGCAACTTGGTGCATATATATATTGTATATTGAATATAACTATTCATATATATTTATATATATATTTATACAAATGTTTCATGTCTAGATTTATATTCACATGTATATTTTGATATATGCAAGCGCACTTATTAGCTGCTGACAATATATGATAATTGCCGTATACTTATAAAGTCCTTAATTAATCTTCTTTTGAGTAAATTTGTATTTTAAATTGTAACATGTTTGAACTGCGTATTTTCTGCAGATTTAGCAGCAATTAGCTGGCATCAACTAATTTGCTTGTCTGCAAAAAAAAAAAAAAACAACTAAAAAAATTGAAAAATTCCTATCCATATATCTAGTTATTTATTTGCACGGAATCGTGTGAGTATATATGCACATACACACACAAACACAAACATACATCTATATCTCGTTATATCTGAAAATTTGTTTATCTTTCGCCTTATGGCAGCGTCGTCGTCGCCATAACGTTGGCTTTATTTGTTTAGCAAGCGAATCTGTTTGCTTAGCTAACCCCACAACGAAAGCGAAGAGTGCGCTTGTGTATTTGGGTATTATTCGGATATTGCAATTTGTTTAGCTAATGAGAAATTGCGGTACTTTTTGCCATTTTAGTTATGAATCAGGATGAAAAAATTAAGAAGTAGAAATAATCGTACTTATAATACACTGAAGAAATATTGTATAGTGGCAGACGGAGATTATGATACAACATGTACGAGGCTGCTTATCGTATCTTTGCTTCAGTTTCAGTTACGATTTCAATTCATTTTAATTAATGCCTATATTATGTTCATGTTATGGTGCCCCACAACAACAAATTATTTACCTTCTGCTTACGTAACGTTTGTATTTGTTATGAATATCATGCCCTTATCAGCTTCAGTGTGCAGCGGGCTCTCATGGGTCTTTGACAAACAGTTATTCATAATCTAAAAATGCATTAAAGTCACTTTTTGCCATTTGTTGCTTTCAACAATTTCTTCACTTTTTCTGTTTGTTTGTTAGTTTGTTTGTTGATACAGCAACAGCTGCATGCAAACCTGATATATCTATGTTTAGATACATTTGTATGAGTGCATTAATTGTTGACGATGTGGTCAGCAATTTTTAATTGAATGCTATTCAAATTGCTTGCTGGGCTTTTCACAGATCGCCAACGACGTCAATTGTTACGAGCATGAAAATCAAAAGTCGCTAAACCAGTTTAGCAGTTTTCACTGTAACACAGCAACAGCAACACCAACAAAAATAGCAACTACAACAACTTTCATTGCCCATGCATTTCAAGGTTACGTTTTGCGCCACTTTTCTTGAGCTGCAAAACTTACTTTTTTCAAGGTTATTTAGCGCTTTGCCTTTGAAAAGAAAGAAAGCACAATAGAAGATAACAAGAGATGGGGAAAACTTTTGTTCTGCTACGACCGTCATGAAGTAAGGTAAAA